TAATGCCCTGCGCTTTAATGATAGGCTTTTAACCATATTTGTATATACTTTACTGAGCGTAATCGCCGTACAGTTGAGAAAAAAAGGCCTACATTGTGTGCCTTTGACAGCCAGCCCACCACCGGACTGCAGACAAAAAAAAAAAAAAAAAAAGCAAAGCCGGCTGTGGTTTCCATCAGAAAGACGCGACCCAAGAAAACGTGGCCGGGCTTTCATATCACAGCACATCCGTGTTCCCGAATTGTTTATCTGCTGTGGCTTAATAATAAGTAATAGAACAGGCTGAACCAGACCAACTGAAGGACCCGGCGTAGCTTTTCTCTGCTGTCACCCTCGCTGTGCCTTGTCATTAATTATAGCCGGCCGAAGCAGATGAAAGAATCCCGCTGCAAAACAAACTCCGGCAGAACCGCTGCACAATAAGGCACAAACAAAGGAAAGGCACTGGCCACGGGGTGCTGTGGCCAGCGGGTCGCTGAAATTTGCGACCTTGAGTGTAGCCGTTGGGATGGGAGTGTCACAGAAGAGCCTCCGCCGTGATGGAGGCTCTCGAGGAGTCCCTTTTTATTTCCCTTTTTCATATTTCTGATTCTTCATCTTCACTTTCTTAGTGCAGTTTGTTTCCTCAAAGGTGTGAATTTTCTTTTCTTTTTTTTGTTTTTTTTGGGGGGGGGGGGACTGACGCATAATTCGACGTGTCCTTTCAATACAGTTCAGCACAGGCTCAATGATTACAGCCTCGTTCTAAATGAATAACCTTATTGTCCTTATTAAAGCCAGATTTTCATGGCACTTATGACTTATCTGCATATTCAGGGAGCTGCACGGATATTTCATTCAGCTCGCTTTTCTAAAGTGTGTCTTTTTCGACTGTGCCTTCACAATAGTTAGACTGATACACTGCTCAAAGGGTAGGAATCTTTTTTGGCCTTTCTCTCGTTTCTTGTGAAACTCAGTCGTTGGCTTGCTTAAGTTTGTCTTGCAACACAGTATTGTATGGATAAAGTTTCCCAATGTGGTTAGATCGCCCCGCCTTGTTGGATTAACAGAAAACCTTACCTTTGTGCCAGCTTTTGTGTAATTCATTAGATTGAACTGGTATTACTCAGTCGGCGGGCGGGCGGGCCGACCGGCCCTTGGTGAGAGTGTGTATAGGGCACGCTTATGGTCAGCTGTGTTTTCAGTTGGTCAGCATTACATTTTTAGATGGGTCGTATGTCAAATGAGCTGAGGACACATATATAATCTGTATTTACTACACAACAGCTTGCCCGGCTATAAATACACCCCGAAACAGTGCTAGCATAGGGCTCAAAAGCAGCACAGTGTTTGGATCAAATCCTCCGGATTTAATATCTCGCTCGCATATTGGGGGGGGGAAATCTGCACTTGTAATGACCCATTTTTATCTGTGCCTGAGTGAATCTGCATTGTTGCAACTGTAGCCACAGGCCGGGGAAACGTGTTACATCAGAGATCTTTTTTCTCTTTCTTTTTAAGCGGCCTTTCTCACTGTTCCCCTCAGCGTTGCTCCTTCCCCAGCACTCAGCCAATGAGCGGTTGGACGGCACGTCATTTTTTTTTTTTTTTTTACAGCTTGAGGAATCCTTTTTCGCCGGCTCGCCGCGAGGCTTGCAGGGAGCTGGGTGAGGCGGGCCGGCCCGCCGGGCTCCGGGAGCCCAGACTCAAACCGCAGGGCTGTGCCGGGAGCGCTCGGAGCCGAGCACCCCTGTGCGTTTGTGAGGGTTCAGCTACGTGCCGGCAGCTGCACGAGGACCCACCAGCTCGTGCGCCCTCGTGCAGCTGCCGGCCAAACACATGGCGCCCAAGCACCGAGCCTGCTCGCTCCTGCATTCACACAGGTTGGAATGCAGAGTCACTGTCGGGGGGCTCATTTGCCACACGGATTACACGTCCATGTTACAGTTTTGCAGGGCGCGATGTGTAGAAAATGTTTGAAAACAGGGCTCACTTATCGGCGTGAGACGCAGATAAAGAACCGCCTGGCTCTTATTAACCCTGTGTGTGGCGTCGCCGACCAGCGGTCGTTTGTCAGAGCGGCCTCTCTTTTTTTTTTTTTTCTTCTTTTTTAGCTTCCTGAACTCAGAATAAACACGCAAGAGTGTAGTTTCACTCTGCTTGGGCCCTTTAATGTCCGACGCGGTACACAAGCTGAACTCTCAGGGGCTGAGCCGGTCGCCGCAGAGCGAGATGAGCACGCTTTATTACCAAAGGCCTTCCCCCTAAATCAGCACAAAGTGTCTTTTCTGCCGGTGGATCCGTCAAGGCCAGTGAACTGGGCGACGTTGTTTTCCGTCCCCGGCGTAAAAGGTGCCGCAGCTCTTCCGTACGGCGCGCTGGACTTGTGGAGATCTTGTTTACTTTGCGCGTTGTTCTTGCCCAGAGTGAGACTTGTGATGTTTTTTATTCTTTTTCTTCAAGCTGAATGCATCAGCCACTCATTACTGTGGCAGCTACTTATGGACAGAGGAGTCCTGGGTGAGCATCTGTGTAGGTTCATGAAGATCCGTTAATGGCCTGTCAGCTCCTATTTTGGAGAGGAAAATGTCCTCGACGTGTGTAGTAGCTGCAAAGAGGCGGCTGCTGTGGACTCTTGTGCCTAAATGATAACTCTTGAATTTAGCATTATCTGCTTCGGGGGTTGGAGGTGTTTTGGAGACTATCATATGAGTAGTCAGATGGTTCTATTTGGTCAAATGCTCATTAACAAAAGCCGAGGCATTTGCCAACTCCAAGTTCTTTTTTCTTTTTTTTTTTTTCAAAAAGCCTCAGCTCTATCACCAAAGTGACGCACAGTCTTTAATTTTGGTGGCCGCTCGCCAACAGGGGCTGTTTGTTTTCTCCCTGTTCTGCTGCGAGAGGAAACTTCATCAAATGCATGATGGAAATTTTACTGATAGCACTAATTCCTGAGTGCTTGTGTGGACTTTGCCTGAAAAAAAAAAGTATATTAGAAGTAGCTTATCCTCCCATCTGTAAAAGCACAATGGCTCTGGTATGGATAACGGGTGGTGGTGGGTAGGATCCTGCCAGAAATGACGAAGTTGAACAAGCTGTCTTGTCAAAAAAATGACTTAAAAACTGTGTCCAGCTTGCGTAATGGTATTGCAGTGTTTATTGTTATTTGTGTGCTTGAGGAATTTATTTGAAACCCACACATCCTGTCACATTGAGTGGCTTTCTTTTGGACTGGATGTCTTAACAAATTAATCTGCTGTGCTATTTGAGACATTTTATTGGCGGTGGAACTAATCGTGAACAGTCAGATTAAATTTGGGGTGCTATAAGGAGTTAACAGATGTTCCAGTGAGGCACTGAAATGCATAATGCACTCATTCAAGGAAGTTCAGCTGAGCAGCGGCCGTAGCGTTTCGCTGGTGTAATTACTTCATGATGCTTTGACCAAATAGGGGAGCACCCGTAATAGGAAAAAGTGTTTTAGTGAATCAGTAAATTAAATTTTATTGTGTTAGCATGATTTTGACTTAAGTGGTGAAGGAAGGATTACTGCTCCTGTGTTCCCTGTAGGTGGAGAGCCAGCTCAAAGTTCACAGATGTGTTTCATCTATTTTTCAAATTCATTTCAATCACATTATGACTACAGGTTTTTTTTTGTGTTTTTGTGTTTTGTCTTTTAAAGACATTTAAAGACGTTTCACTACTCCTGCACCCTGACAGGCAGAAGTACAAATTAAAAAATGTTGCGTGAAAATCTTGGCTCTGACTTGTCAGCAGCCTACGTGTGCTCGCCGATGGTTTTCAGTGGCTGCCGCAAAGGCAAATCAATTAAATCCTGAGACTGTGATGTGTTTTCTGCCAGTTTTCCTGTAGTGTGCGCAAGTTAGATGCATTACTTGGGTGTTAAGTGCTTCACTGCATTGTAGAGAAACACTCAAAGGTAATAAGAGAGGCGCTGTTCGGAATTACTCCGATTTAATCAGCAATCACAACTTTGTTGGTCAGAGCCGAATATTTGTCTTTTTTTTTTTTACTGTGTAGATGGAAGAAGCCATGAAGCCAGATAGCTGACATTTAATTTGATTTTTTTTTTTTCCTCACAAAAGTTGTTAATGAGGAGTTGTGTCTGTACGTACTGTTACGACGGGAGATTGAAAGGAGCTAAGTGTAATTTATCACACACACCCTCGGCTTTATCTCGTCAGATCTGCACTTCATCACTTGATTATTGCTGAAACGACTCCCATCTCCTCGCCTCACATTTACGTTGTGAACCAAATTACATTAGATCGCACGCTGTTTAGGCATGATTTCTGCTTGTTTGCATGCAAATGCAACAGGGTTCAACGGATGATTGAAATTAATTTTTACAATTTGGGCAGTGATTGTTAAGCAGCGGAGATTTCCAACTTTCTGCTAACGAGCGCTGTGTATGTGGCCAAATCTGCATGTGATTCACCAAAAAGGGCTGCATGCACGAGCCTGGACATGAGCTTTCGAAATGCCCCGTGGCGCTTTTTGCCTCCACATTTAAATGCTCCAGAGGCCTTGGATGTATGCTGGTAGCGTGTGTTGTAAGCATTATTTGCATATTCATGTATGTACATTATTCACATGGCTGATGCTGCTCCTTTCATAACCGTGCCTCTTGTGTCTGTGCTCAACCCCATCCCCCACCCTCACCATTTTATTTGAACCCCCCCTCAACCTCCCCACAGCCCCTCTTGATTAACTAATGTCCAATTCGATGCTGTGTATTTCAGCAGCTTGTCACCTAATGCAGGCAGCTGATTAACCTGGAGGCTGGCTGGCTGCTGAAGTTGCTGCCTTCATCTCCCTGTCTTCATCTCCCCCCCCAACCCCACCCCACCCCACCCCGGCCCGCTCCACCCACCGCCCCTCTTTGCATCTACGCTCCTAGCTCTGTGTCTGCCTCTGTGGAGTTTACTGTCAATAAATCCCCAGAGGTCAGTTTGTCTGCTGGAAATCAGACACAATGCTTCAGACCGCCAATGCGATGCATGCCTCGCTGCTGCCGCCACAACAAAGACCGAGGAGGGGTGGAGAAGGAAGGAGGAGAGGTGGGGTGTGGAGGGGGGGTGGGGGTGGGGGGGGCGGTGGTTCTATGGAAGATTTTTAAGGAGGGAGGAGGAGGGGTGCCCAGACGGACAGATGGATGTATGGAGGGAAAGATGGAGAGTGTCTCAACATGATGAAACAGGAAACAGGTAGACACTGAGAAAGAAATCAATATGGCGGGCTCAGGAGGCGCACACATGAAATTTAGTTTGATATATGAATTAATTTTTTTTTCTCGGATTATTAGCAAGTGAAAAGAAAATGGCTGCCTCCTACGAGGATCTAATTAATTTTGAAGGATCATCAGCCCCTTTAGTCCAAGGCAGGGTACAGGAGGGAGGGAGGGAGGGAGACAGACCCCTGGGCTGATTAGAATTCACTGCAGGTAGGCGCTGGCTGCTGCTCACCCACTGTGTCACGGCTAAAATGGAATCACTGTTGTGAGTGGCAGTCTGGGCAACGGAAGCCTGCTTCCTTTGGCCTGCTCCTTTGTTGCTAGCCTTCACCTCACTTTACCCCTCAGGCAGGTGGATTTACATGTCTGGTTGGGAGAGGAAGGCCATAGGGGGAGAGGGAACGTATACACATGTTTGCATTGTCTCAGAGTAGACACAATAGAATTAAAATAAAAACCCTATGGCGACAGGATACAGTTGCATTCTAAGCTAACCCCTGCTGGAACAGAAAAAAAAAAGGTCAAATATTTGCTATTGGAATGAATTCAAGCAGAAGTTTGTGCAGCGTGATGAAACAGAAGAGTTTGAAATGTGGCATTTAAAGGGGATTTTATTTTTGATTTAGTCAGTTCGGAATGGAACAAGCAGGGAAAAAGTGAACTGGAAGGTGAGACCCACGTCTGCTTGCGTTGTTGGTTGGGTACAGGAACAACGTGCCTGTGGGCTCAGACTTTAATTGGACCCAATATGAGATGGCCCTTATGGGTTAGTTTGGTTAATTAGGTTATTTTTAGATTTAGTGCTGCATAAAGGGGTTAATGTTTTATTTTAATGAGAGGGTTAAAGGACTTTGCTCAGATTTTTTTTCGTTTTGTTGTTGACCAAGACTGCGAGTTTGTGTGTGTTGGAAAAAAATCATGCGGCACACTGATTGGTCTCAGTGTTGAGCGATCATTCTCGGCCTCTAAACATGTCATTTCTTGTCCATATCTAATGATCAGATATGTTGATTATTGAAAATCGCACGTCTCAGTCACTAAACTACTTCTCAGAGTGGGCTGGGTCTTTTTTCCAGAGATATTGTGCTTTCCGGCTCTAGAATACAGATAAAATCATCAACTTTGAGGCTCGTCCATTGTCTAAGATGGATCTATTACCTCAGACAATCAGACACAGGAAAAAAAAAAATCCCTCTACGAGTGAATGTGGAGAAGATTCAGACGCCACTTGTTTAAAATCTCCTAGTTTTCATCTGTGGATTTTACGTTGGTGTTCTCAAAGGGAGGGTACTCTTCAGAAGTTCTTTAAAGAATAATTCTTAAAAGAATCATTTGTGTCAACACTAATATGCAGTTCTGGTCAGATCCAAGCCCCGTTTTGGTTATTCAGCAGCACTGCGCAGTCACTGGCATTTTACAGAGAGCACTTGATGTTCATCTTGTAGCAAATGGAGCTGAAACTAAATGTCTTTTACTGAATTTACAAAGAGAGGGAAAGTATTTTAAGAGAGTCAGGTCAAACTTGGAAGTGTGTTCTAAACTCACATTAACGCTAAACACGCTGCATAATTTTCAGATACTTTTAAAAGCTTTGGTGCTCGCTGTGGTTGACAGTGCTCTGAGCAACATGGGACTGATAAAAGAGGATGCTTTATGAAAGGCATTTTGCATTTTTTCCATCTTCCCTGAACCCAAGTGATACCATGAGTGTGTGACTGTAATGTGGGTAGTTTTCACATTATATTTCTTACCAGTTTGGCATTCAAATGTTTACATACAAATGTGTTTGTACAGCAGAGGAGCAGTTGTGTTTGGCTTTCTTAGCGTCACCAAACCAGCACATCACATGCTTGATGTTGTTGAATGCCTTTTTTGTGTTTTCAGTGAATGCCTTGTGCATTCAATATTTGGCTCATTTCTATTATTATAACATCTAATGTTGCTCCACGTCAGTGCACTTCATTGTGTGGCTTCATTTGGTGATTTAAAAATTCCCAAATCCCAGAAAATGTCAAATGCAGACACCAACAAACGCTCATAGGCGTGATATTGAGATCTCTTCTGAAATATTTCGAAAAGATTTCCATGTAAACTCATGAAAAATGCGAATCGTTTTTCTTGGGAAGGGTGTGGTTTTGTTACCCAGCAGCCCAGATATAAAAAAGAAAAAGAAAAAAGAGAGCTGGCTCCAACAGCAGCATTATTTTCAACCTTGATTTGTAATTTTGCAGTCATGTGATCACAGGATCGTCCATTCGTCTTGCATTAAAAACTCTTCACACATCTGTTGCAGCATGCATGTGGCAGATATTCCTGTTACTGTGGCTCTGGGTTCATTAAGGGAGTGGCAATATCGACGAGGCACTATGTGGCATTAAGATTTGTCTTTGTCTTTTCTCTCCCCCTCCAAGAGCAGAGCTACACATGATTTGGACAGAGAGGACTGACTGACAGCCTTGCCTCACACCAGGCCTCTGATCAGCCATCTCCACCAGCAAATTAAAGCTTGACCCGCACTTCATCACCAGCCTCACACGCATCTTCATTACAAAGCGTCATCAAACTGTAAGTATCGGAGTTCTTCACATTATTTTTTTTTACACTTAAAGTCATTATTATTTAAATAACAATGGGTGTTTTTTTATCAGATTTTTTAAAACACGTCTGCTGGAATATTTGAAAATTTCGAGTTCATCGAATGAATCCTTCTGCCACAGTTCAAGATATTTGATCGTTAGCCCCAAAATGTAATTGTTTTCCACAGGTTTCCTTTAATTTACACAGCAGTTATGTCCTCTTTGCTTCCAAACATTTTGTCCACAAGATGCATTCATACAAATGAATGTACCACTAATTGACAGATATGGTATGATATAATTATATCTAATTTTTTACATGCCAAGGAGTATTTTTCCACGATTAAAAGTAGGACATCTTTTCAAATGACGGTTTTCCAGAGAAGTATTCAGTAATAATTCATCATCAGCCATTACCTCAGAAGGCCCATATGAAAAAAATCCACAATTTTAGACTTTCAAATCCCTCTCACTTATATTTACATTTAGATTTCTTTTAACGCCAAATGGAACGGAGGAACACCTTAGGATTTCTCCCACACTGCTCAGCCGGGTCAGATGTACTGTATTCCAAGGATAGTTTGGAAGCGCCATCATGGTGAACACATGGCTGACAAAAGAGGCTTGTTGTCCTCTAAGCCCAGTGCACCACCTAATGGTGGTTGGGGAAATTTCATAAATATGCCCTGAATGAAAGGAACTTGGCGTAATTAGATGGGAACCATCTTAATGGTCCTTGTGGAAAGTTTAAATAGCAACATTTTGAATAATTCTGTTAGTCCTAAAATGATCACGAAGGATTGAAAAAAACAAACAAACTGCTGATCCAACTGTTTGATATGTCTTATGTCTTTTAGGTAAAATTACAGCAATATCAAGATATCAATTCGGAGCAGATTCCACTAAACAATTATTTCTTCACAGAGAGCTTCTTTCAGCAATGCATTAATTCACAGCCGCGATTTTAGTTGAAACATTTCAACCAACTGGGATAACTCGGTTCATTTAACTCAGCAAAGCAGAACAGGGGTTGTTTGTGTTGAGGTTTTTCAACCAGGTGTGTTACTCCTTACCTGCAGGTAACATCAGTTGCAAGGGGATGACCGAGCGCATTCATAACATCAATCTTCACAACTTCAGCAATTCTGTACTTGAGACCCTCAATGAGCAGCGCAACCGTGGGCACTTCTGTGACGTGACTGTTCGGATCCATGGAAGTATGCTGCGAGCTCACCGGTGTGTGCTGGCTGCTGGAAGCCCATTCTTTCAGGACAAGCTGCTCTTGGGCTACAGCGACATTGAGATCCCCTCAGTGGTCTCGGTTCAGTCCATCCAGAAGCTGATTGACTTTATGTACAGTGGGATTCTGCGGGTATCTCAGTCAGAGGCTCTGCAGATCCTTACTGCTGCCAGCATCCTTCAAATTAAGACCGTCATTGATGAGTGTACCCGCATCGTTTCCCAGAATGTGGGCCTGGCTGGGCCCGGGGGGTTTCCTGTCATACCAGGAGACTCTGGACAGGAAACGCCCCGTGGAACACCAGAGTCAGGGACCTCTGGGCCCAGCAGTGACGCAGAGTCAGGTTATATGCAATCGACATCACAGCCAAGTGACCGTGCTTACACGTCACTGTATTCCTACTCTGGCCTGTCTCTGCAGAACGGCACCCGCGAGCGCCCCATTTACATCCACAACCCTCAGTCTGCCAACTACGATCCAAATAACCGGAAGGACCAGCAGTCTCAGGATCCACCCTGGATGAACCCTATCCAGGAAAGATCTCAGCAGGTCGACCGCTTCATTTCCACAGCAGAGTCTACCCACTGCCGCAAGCAGCCCCGACCGGTACGCATTCACCCCGAAGGGATGCACATAAAGCAGGAGGCCGAAGACGAGTACGGCTGCTACAACGAAATGGGGGACTGCCAAGACGACATTGACCACGGCGAGGGCGTGGAGAGTGAATCCAAGGTTGAAAGTTTTGACTCAGGGGTGAGCTCCTCCATCAGTACAGAGCCAGACATCATGGAGCATCAGCCGTACCTGACAGGCTATAGCCGGGAAGGGGGCGGGGAGCTGCAGCAGGGCGAAGGAGCCACGGTGCAGATAGAAGTCAACGACTCGTCCCCGGAGCACGTGCATAAGACAGAGGACGGGGACATATCCCACAGCACTAGTGACAGTAGCATGATGCAGTCCCTGCCAAACTCGATTAAACTCAGTCCCATGTCTCAGTACATGCGCCATGTAGAAACACACACCAGCAATCTGAGGATGCCGCTCACCGTGACCAGCAATTCCCAAGCGATGGGCCCCGCTGGAAGTACCTTCCTGCCCACTCTCTTTCCTACCCAGCCGGCTAGAGACAACAAGTCTTTCCTTTACCTTCATGGCCAGCAGCAGCCCCAATTTGTTGCAGTGCCGCCCCCTACAATGTCATCATTCCCGAGCCCCATGTCGGTACCGCAAGCGCCATCTCAGCAGCAACAGGCTGCAGGAGGGATGGGTCAGGGGGAAAAGAAGCCCTATGAATGCACTCTCTGCAGTAAAACCTTTACTGCAAAACAAAACTACGTCAAACACATGTTTGTCCATACGGGTAAGTCAACATTTGTCATTTGATGTGAAGACTTTTCATAGAAGTTACAAAGCTGAGTTAAACGGTTGTTTGATCAATACTTACCGTAGGTTTCGATGTTATACTTATGAAATGCTATAGAAATACTTTTGACCAACGACCTTAAATTGTTTTGCCTGTAGCAGAAACCAGCTGAATACCCTGGTTCTTTGGAATTAGGGATTTTATTTCTAATCTCCTTGAATGAGTCTGGCAGCTTTTAGAAAAACGGTGAAATGTATGAAAACTAAAAGAGCTTTGGCCATTTTCATTCACATTTCTATTTAGGCCACTGTAAGTGGAAAAGAAGTCATGACTCTGAGGGTATATTTATGTCCTTTGAAATGACTTCCACCTCTCAATCCTGATTATGTCATTTGGTTTTATTTTGGGGAAAGAAATCAAAAAGAAAGCCTCTCTTTGAAAGTATTTCTTCAGCCGATATGTTCATTAGATCCACTGCCGTGGTGAGCTTTCTGACTGTGGTAAACTGAGATGGACTTGACCGTATTTTTATTTGTTAATTTTTAAAATCAGCAGCACTTCTTGTAAGCACATACAGTCAGCCTCAGATAGCTGAACTCAAAACCAAACACACCTAAACCAAAACACCATCAACAGCACCAGAAGAACCAAGGGCAGTGCTTAGTCCAGATTATTCCTCATCTCTGGTGCCTTTAGAATCTTAATATAACATCACAGTTTGTGAGGCATCAACAGCCATTTTCATCGTATCGTCACTTCAAGTTTACCTTGGAATAGTTTATGTTAAGCTGTTGAGCTCTCTGCTGGATCACGGGATAAACTCCAATTCAACAGTCAGGCTGATCTGTCTAAATAGCCTATATCCTGAAGTCCGTACACAGTGTCATTTTTTAATTCGATTGAGTTCAGAGATTCCCCACTTTCAAACAGATGTTGGAACTTCAAAGCAACATGACAACTCTGTACTGTACTCCCAAACTATGGCAGCCAAAACTTTAAAAGGGCTATTCATTACACCGAATTTGGTTTGCCTCTGTTGGGTAATTGTATGCTGATGCAACATGATGGAGGAAGGCTTGTCAGCTCTCCAAATAGGGCTGGATTTAAGTGACTTGCTCTTAGGTTTTGAAATCACCCCGACAATGTGTGATTCCAAACTAATGTGTTAATCTGCCAATCGATGGCCATCAGTATTGTGCACAAATGTCTAGAATCCACTTCCATCAGTATGGAAAACATGTTAGTCATACACTAAGTGCTGTTGAGATAATGAAGGGACACTAATTAGTAGAAATTGTATTATTTTTACTCTAAGTTAAACCACAGAATACTGATATAGTGTTCCTTTAACATATGATCATATTTTGAGGTTGTAGTTAATTGACAAAGTGAAAATGTTTCAGTCTTATGCTGCTTTCGCTTTATCCCTGAATAGAATTCTAACGTGCAGCTCTCTGTGCTGCGATCAGGTTATGGAAAAATAAATAAAACACATGATCCCAATTAGATGATTCAATTAAAAAACAGCCATTATAATTCATTACAATCCATTTCATGCCAGGAACATCTTATTCTATGAAGGTTTCTCACACTAACTGTGTGTAGTGGCATGATAGGCATACTTGAAAAGTAAAATCACTAATCAGTCAGCCCCCTGGACTCCATCTGACTCTCCAAAAGCAGCCAATGATGTTATTAATGTAAATAGTTCAGAACTGAAAAGTGGTCTTTCTGTCCTTGGAAAAGTGTCAGATATCAAATACGTGCAAATGATTTTCATCTTTTATTTGCTTAGAATAATTAGTTAAAGCTAGGCTTCAGTAAATGTAATATGTTTCTTGTTCACAAAACACACTTACGGCAGCACACTAAAGAGTTAGCAGTAAATGGCAAACTCAAGAGCGACACTCTGTGCTGCAGAGGTCATGTGTCATTTACAGGCGAGGGACAGAAATGATAAAGTAAGCGTATTAGTTATTTGTTTCCGTAAGTCAAAGCAGGAAGCTGGTCATTAATACCCACAGACATAATATCACTTGCCGTTCTCCAAAAAAACGATGCCTCACTATATTTTTTTCTATAAGGCAACTTTTCTGGTATAGTGTTAACCGTCTGTGCCTTGTCCTAATTCCATCAGGCAGCTTAAAATGAAAGCCTTACCAGCAGTGTTCCGGTACGCATCTCTTAGTGAAAACAGCACCATCACAAAGCACACGTGTTTAAATAATTCCGGCTGGAGGTATGTTCACGCACTGAAAAAAGCAGTGACTTCAGGCGTCTTGACGTTTCAGCACAAGCTGAAGTCAGATGATCACGCCACAACATTGCCTGTGTGCTACTCGGAGTGTGCTGGCAGTGTTTCAGGAGAATTAAAAACTCTAAATTTGCCTTGATCCGGTTCCAAACCGGACGACTAATTTGCTCCCCCCACACCCCCTCCCATTTTTTTTTTTTTTGGGTCTTTGATAAACAGACGTGCTGATTTACACACGGCAGCATGACGACCCAAAAATCTTTCATTAAGAATGACCGCACCACCCAGATTTTGACATTTCAGCGAATGCCCTTATCAGGCTGGCTGTTTACATGTTGAGCAGATGGTGTTAAATTAGCTTTAGAAAAGGAAATGGAAATCATACGGGGAGGTTAAGACTCTCCCCGGTTTCCTAGAAGTGATGCAAATAAGACACATTTTTCAAAACCTTAGGCATACATTTTCTGTTCAGTAATAGTGCCCGATAAAGCTTGTTGAGCTTTGTGAAAGAAGATTTGCGCGCACTGTAGCAGCGTTATATCGTGAGATTTTGTTCATTTTCTCAGTTGTGATCATCTAAAAATAGAACCTATTCTTCAGTTTTCGTTGATTTTTGTTCTTCATATTAATTAACCTGTAGTCGCTTTTTTTTTTTTGCTTTTTTTTTTTTTCTGTATGCACATCCAGGTGAGAAGCCTCATCAATGCAGCATCTGCTGGCGCTCATTCTCCCTCAAGGATTACTTAATTAAACATATGGTGACACACACAGGGGTGCGAGCCTACCAGTGCAGCATCTGCAACAAGCGCTTCACCCAGAAGAGCTCTCTGAACGTCCACATGCGGCTGCACCGTGGAGAGAAGTCCTATGAGTGCTACATCTGCAAGAAGAAGTTCTCACACAAGACCCTTCTGGAGCGGCACATGGCCCTGCACAGCACGGCGAGCGCCATCACGGGGCTGACGGGGAGCGCAGTGGCCCCGGGCCCGGTCTCCATTCCCATGCCTATGGCCGTCCCCGAGCCCGGAGCTGGAGTGGTGGCCCTCGCCATGCCCGTCAGCGGCGGTGCTGGAGTAGGGGCCGGGGTGGGAACAGGAGTGGGTGTAGCCGCCGAAGCGAGCTGCCAAGAAGGGACCACCTACGTATGCTCCGTCTGCCCTGCCAAGTTCGACCAAATGGAGCACTTCAATGACCACATGCGAATGCATGTCTCCGATGGATAAGTACAAATAAAAAAAAAACTTCGCTGAAAAAGAATGACATACAAAATGGCACTAGATTTTTCCTTTTCTTATTTTGAGGTATGAAGAGTAATGAGTAGAGACACTGGCACATTAAGTTTCCCAAAAAAAAAAAGGTTTCTTTCTTTCTTTTTTTTTCTGTTATTCTAAAAGAAAAAAAAGATGGTGGCCTTAAGGCTTAGTAGTTTGATATTGATCTACTGGATGGATCCTAACTACAGGCCTCTAAATGTATGCTTTCCTAAAATACTGATTTATGTGTTGAACACTACCGAAAGGCCTACGAAAGAAACACGTACACACAAACACACCTTTAGTGTAGATAAGTCTGAATGACTATAAATGAGCAAATATGTTTGAGGATTTGTGTATTTGCATATGTCTATCTGTTGTCCTTATGCGTGTGTGTATGTGTGTGTGTGTGTGTGTGTGTGTGTGTGTGTGTGTGTGTACACTGCCATGCAACAGAAATCTTGGCAGTTGTGAATCCATACTGACCAGTTTGGAAACTAGATGTCCAAGCTTACTGTGGTATAATTTACGACAATAACAAAAAAAGAAAAAAAAAAGTCATCTGGGGTTGGGCTACATATTCCCTCTAAAATACTGATGGTCACAAGATTGCCTTCTTACATCAAATAAAAAAGGAGAGTAGTTAATTTGACACTGGGTTTTATTTATTCCTATGGTATTAAGGGATTATAATGCAGCTGTTGTCAAGGTACCAATTTTAATCATTTTACTGAAATGTGACTTCCTGTCAGAGGTAATGGGGAAAACTATTCCTCATAGGTTTTCTGATTATTTTCCATGCATTTTTGATGGTCAAGATAACGTTTACTAAATTTGGTGTGTTGATGAGACAGTATTCGAGCAAAAATATGTTTCTTTTTTCCCCAGAAGTTTGGAGTTTAACTCATTTGCATACACTGCCACTTAATATCGTAAAAGACTGTTAAGGCTAATAAACCTCTTCCATTGCGAAACATATATATAGAAATTTATATATGGAAAAAACTAATCCTTTGCAGATGGGTTTTTTTTAGCCTTCTACACTCACAGTTTGGCAGGCAGGAATATGCGAATAAACTCTCATCTTCATATTTGCTGCTCTTCAACTTGCACCCGACTGTTATGGGACTCAGATTTGAAAAACAAAGGATTCGTCACTTCAGCTACTGTATTGTGGTTTTAATTTTATAATGGATCGACCGTTTTGTAGGAGGTTGACTGGTGGTAATGTAGTAACAGGAAGGGTCCTTTATTTTGAATCGAAATTTCCTATCTAAATTACAGCCCCCCTGATTTTGGAAAGCTGTGTAACTGGTTTATTACAGCTGCAAAGCTATTTCAGTAGGTGGGAGCTAAGTGCATCACTCTTCATGTATTGGCTCTCCCGAAGGCTCAAATGGCGTGCAGCGTTTTGACAGGAAATACAGCCTGAAAGCTTAACAATTCGCTCGATGGCATCACACTGTTGCATGATATACCCCAAATTGCAGAGGGACTGTGTAGAAAATTGCATACATTCCTAATTTTTCTAAAAACCCAGACACAGCATGTGCATAATAGATATGGAGGATCGTGTGTGCAAGTTGTCGTCCATGCATCACATCCCTTATGGCTAATTTCTGATATTTGAATTCTTTTTATATTGCTTTTTATCCAGAATAGGTCACACACACACGCGCACACACACATGCAACTGCTTGCAACTGCAATCCGAAGGTTCTGCTTTTTTTTAAAGAAAGCAAACGCTTCCGTAGTTGAGTAATTAAGAGAATATCTAACTGCGTACGGAGGTCTTTAAAAGACCTACTGTCTTTCTTTTTTTAAAGTGCTACTTTGCACATTTTTCTTAAAATGCCTGTGCTTGATATTTAATCATTTTCCTTCAATTACCTTTCTTTTATTCAATTTTAAAGAAAAAAAACATTTTTTAAAAATCTTGATAAGTGGACTGCATTATTTTCTTGCATATATGTTGCACTGCTTAAACCAATAAGTGCACTACTGTTAACAGAGATGTTATAGTTTTAGAAAAGAGATTTTTTTTTTTCCTTTTTACTATTTGGTTTTAGAATTCACTTGTAACGGAACAGCTTTGTTTCAACTTCTCCATCAAATGATTCACCAGTTCTTGGCTTTTCTTACTGCTTGCTGTTACCTACAGTGTATTCTTGTGCCGTGTTGATGCAAGCATTTCTTTTCATTTAAACCATTACGTGTGCTCATCTGTGTTCTAATCTTTGAATTCTTCTATGGAGTCAGTTCCCTATAAATGTTTATTTGACTGCTTTTCTTTAGAGACAGTGCAGACTTTTCCTATGAGAACATCCAAGCCAAACAGCATTAGCAGTAAAACAACAATTGTGATAATAAGGAAGCTCCCGTCCAACTCCGTTGGGCCGGGGTCATAATGACTAATATAATATTAATAATGTGTGCGTGTAACACAAGTGATAAGTGTATTCTCGAGCAACTCTCCGTGGGTTAAAGGTGTGCGAAGGTGATAGAATGCAGCTTCTTTGATATCTTACTGTCACTTGTACACAGTTGTGTCCCTTCCGTGGTGTTTGTGTGTCTGTGAGTGTCTGTGTGGTAAATAGCCTAATCAAATTGTTGATAAGTGGAATATCTCAACTGTAGGGCTTCCTTTACAATATGCAGCGCAGGTACTATGAGAAGCAGCTCTCCAAACCTTTTGGGCTAATAAGTTACCTGTAACACTTGTTCTGAGATTCCACTGAAGCTCTGGTCAAGTGCTTTCGACTTCATTGTGCCGGTTTGGAGAAGTTAAGTCAAGCATTTGGATGTTGGGTGTCATACACTAGATTTCAGAGCCACGTGGAGTCGTTTTTGAAAAAGGAAAAAAAAAAAAAATCTGAAGTTTTATACGCACTCTTGACAGTAATACTTAAACGGCGTGAGGTTAGTCCTCAGTGGAAGTGGCAGTTATTGAACATTTGATTGGGCCTGTTTCTATGGTGTGCATATAAACCTAAACTTGTGTGGTTCCCGTTTTGTAGCTGTGGTTGCCACGATGGCAATATTGCTGCATGCTAGTGCTATATTTGTCTCTACACAGCACGTGGAGGGTAATCTTATGCCTTAACAGACAATGCACTAAGTAGAATATGTAAGCAACTGCCGACATCTCTTTCCAACAGTATTGCCACATGTACTGTACGGCACACGGCTCATGGCGTCGGCGTTTGCTGTCCGTTGGAGTTGAAACACTGCCAAACTAACACCGTCACTTCGTCAACAGCAGAGGCAGAGACACTGAATTCAGCTGTTCCAGTGTAATGAGTGTAGTCAGCGATTTAGCATTCCCTCACGGCACCGAAAATTGTGGACATATTTTGTGTGAACGCGTATATCAAATGCACTATTGACTGTAGCTAGATGAGTACAACCAGCTTTGTGGTATCATTGGTCTAAATAGTAGGTGAAGTAGCTCGATGTCAGTTTTTTTCTTTTTCAAACATTTGATTTCCCAGTTACACTATCAGTCGTTTTTCTCGATCACTCTTTTTTCTTTCCGAGTAACAAAAGTAGCCAATCATAACGTGATCTGGGTGAGGGCTAATAACTCATCCCATCGTCTGTTGACGTTTGTATCATAGGGTGTTTGAATGGCAGACCAGGCGTGGACGGGAGAGAGCCTTTGCTCCTGTGTGTCATAGCGTGCTCCAGCATAGCCCCGGCCCCTCCCTCACCCCCCCACCCCCACCCCCCCCACCCCCCCACTGCATTAGCACCACACGCTCTTCCCTGTCCATAGTTCTATATTTATTATATTTCCTCAGCTTCTCGTGGTGGTTCTTAATTCTCTCCTCTCGGTGTTGCAAAAAGTCAATTGAAAGTTGTTGCAACAATAACCAGAAAGAAAAAAAAATCATTATCTCAATTGTGCTTCTTCGAGTCGTAGGTCTAGACTTTATGTTTGCAAAGTGTGCCGATATTTTCCAGAACAAAAACATTTTGAAAAGTAGATGATAGCCTTGAGCCTGCAACTGTTCGTATTGTGTTTCGAATATATTCCTGTTTATGTTTTGTTTATCTTAGCGTAGAGACACGGGGTCTACAGTACATTGTTGTCCTTCTTGCTGTAAGTTTAATTCATTGTTAAACTTATTTATTTTGGAATTCCTCCCGCTTTTCTCTGTTGGTCACCGTGGTGTTGATCATAGCTTCACGCAATGGTATAAAGGATTGTTGGATATTTGTGTACTATAAATATATATACATATATATATTTGCATATATGCTTTGCGTTGAGATGAAAACAATGAAAGTGGAAGACAGCAGTAATGAGGGTCCTTTTGAGTATGGAACAGGGTCGTTTTTATCCTGGTAAGCATATGTCTGTCCTTCAGTTCATCTTTCAGTCTCGCTCCACACATTTTAAGTCAGATTATCTTTTCATGTAGACAAGTCACAAAACTAAAAAAAGAAAAAAAACTTTAAAAAAACAGAAAATACCACTCAGATGATACTTGCAATTGCATTTTTGTCTTACTACAGTACACAGAGTGAAATAGATAACTTCTTACAAATGCTCTCTATATATTTTAAGTATCACCGTCTCCACACAGAGAAAAAATACATTTTCAAATAGTTTGATAAAATCGTAACTGCAGCTAGAGTATACAGTACCTTGTGGGATATAGGGAATATGCCTATCAAGTGCCTATCAGTACATACAGCAACTATACAAAATATTCATAGTTTTTCTCTCCTACATTGCACAAATACAGTATATACACAATTAAGAATATACTATTTATGCTATTGATGCTAAAACCCGGTGGTTGTGAGTGCAGCGTAAGAGAACCCTTTAAAATACCAGAAATGTTTTATTCATAGACAATAAAAGCTACATCAGCAAGTTTTATTAAGTTGTTTTTCTTTACCTACATTGAAACCTTCTGGAGGATGGAAAGATTTAAAATGCAATCACAGCCTCAACAAATTAGATCTGTTAAGCTGTTTTTTACATTTTTTTAGAGTGTAAGTGAATATTCACACTGAAGTCTTTCTTTGCCTTTTGTCTTGTGCTTTGCCATTTGCAAACAAGCCATATACTGGAATGTAGGGCATGGACGGGGAGGGCAGCGGTAGCTTGTGAGCAGCAGGGGGAGCCACCCGGCAGCTGGAGGAGGGGAAATGTGCACACCTGTCTGTCACAGCCCAAAAGATCTGCTTTCAGAGTCCTGTACGGCCCCTCCAAATGCCAGCCAGCGCCTAGTTTCTTCGCATTGAGGATTTAAGTTGGATCTTAGCTTGTTTTGGGTTCTTTTTTTACTGCACAATGTGATTTGGTAAAAGGAAAAAAAAGAAAACAAATGCTCAACTTGTTTATTTTTGTAGCCACAACTTGGAGACAAAACTAGATTTGAAATGGAGTGATTTGGCTCCAGAGGATCGCACTTTGCAGGCACCACG